TCCACATAGTGTCTTGGGCACTTCCTATTTGAATGGAAGGCCCTATGTACTTGTCGGGGACCCCACCTGTTCGCCGCTTCGGCCACACTAAATTGTCCGGGGGCCCTGCACATCGGAACTTGGTGTCCGAATTTAGAGCCCTACAATTCTGTCTGGGCCACCTGATAATCTGCTCGGGTATATTCCATCTTTCGGGGGCCCTCCGCACTGGGTTTTGGGTACTTTTTTTTGAATGGAGGGCCATACGTTCTTCTTGGGTCCCTTCTGATGAGCTCCTCGGGCACGTTCTATCGTTGTGGGGGCATTCGCATAAGTTCGCCGGTGCCTCCCATTCGAATGGAGAGCCCTACGCTTCTGTTGGGGGCCTTATTTGTGGGACCCCAACAAGACCTGACCTGCCTCAACGCGCCAAAGACATGCTCGGGCACACTGGATCATTCGGAGGCGCTCTTCATTGGGTTTTTGGTATTTCCTATTTGAATGGAGGACCCTACGCTGTTGACGGGGGCCCTATATGTTAGCCTGCTCTGACGCAATGGATTATTGGGGGGTCCTCTGCGTTGGGTCTTGAATACTTCCCATTTGAACGGAGGGCCCTACACTCTTTTTGGGAACCTTATCTGTTGACCTGCTCGGGCACACTCGATCATTCGAGGGCCCACCACATTGGGTCATGGGTATTTCCTATTTGAATGGAGGGCTCTATGCCCTTGATGGGGGCCGCTATATGTTAACTTCTTCTGGCACACTCGATCGTTCAGAGCCCTACACATTGTGTCGTGAGTGTTTCTTTTTGAATGGATGGCCTTATGTTCTTGGTGGGCCGCATCTATTAAGCTGCTCAGACCGGTGGCGGATGCAGAGGGGGGGGGGGGGGGGGGGAGCGGGAGGTACGGACCATGGACCATGGGCCATGCCGACGACCAAGAACAAGTGTTAGCAAAAGTAAAGAGTTTATAAGCAGATCAAGTTCATTTTTGCTGATCGGGGAAGCGTTGCTTGCGGGAAATTTTGGAGCTCATTACGCTGTTAGTTTCCTGACACTACATGTCCACTTGGCGGGTCAATCCGATCGCTAAGAAGCTTTCCACGTTACCCTTGATCTCTGCATCTTGTCGTAGGGCCCAATGTGCTGTTGGGACGCTATCTGCCTCCATGCCTGAGCATTGTTGATCGATCAGTTTCTCCTCCGCGGATTGTCCCAATTCGCCCAAAAGCTCTTTAAGCTTTTTCCAGGCCCATATGCCAGGGTAAACTCAGTTGCTCAGGGGCCCTTCATTTAAGTCTCGGAGTCTTCCTACTTGCTTGGAGGGTCTTGTGCTGTTGCTAGGGCTTTTATACGGTAAAGCACGGAGGTACTCGATGCTTAGGGGCCGTCCTCTTCGATCGAGGGCTCTCTCCCTTTGGTCTCATTTGCCGAGGACTCTTCATTCCTATCGAGGCTCGTGTTGTTAATCTGCCCGCGCAGTCTTGATTGCACAGGGGCTGCTAATTCATGGTCTTGGATAATTCCGCTTCGCTGGGGGGTTCTGTGCTCTGGCCGGGGCTTTATATGTCAGCCTGCCAAGGCACTACCGGTCGTTCATGGGCCCACCACGTTGGTCTTGGGTTCTTTTTGCTTGCTCTGCGAACTCTATACTTATTGATGGGAGCCACTTGTTGGCCTCCTGCAGCATCCATGATCGCTTGGGTTTCGTCCCTATTGGCCCTGGTGCCTTCGCCTCAGAGCAGCAGTCGAATATGCGCTGATAAATTTTTACGCGCAATGACCGAACGTAATTTGACATGCCGCCGACGTCGCATGTGTCATTTTCATCAGCTATTGAGTGTGTAACACTTATTATACTTGTGCATCACGTTCTTAACCTATTTAGATTGCTAGGATATGTTGTACTCCTTTATAACAGAGGAAAAATTATACACTAGCCATCAGCCATCAGCTGATTACTTCGCCCAGCCGGCTAGCCGTAAAAACAAAACCTAGGAATCAAGTCCATGCTTGGTGTTGATGGTTGTTAGCAGCTAACTCAAGTTTATTTTGCCTGTTGTTCCGAAACACTTGTCCTCAAAATCACGGTATTTAACATGATGCGTAGAAAGTGAGCCAGTTCTATGTGTACGCATGCGTAGCACGCATAGCTTTATGAGGCCGTGCACAGCAAGATGGGCTTCCGTATTTATGAAATAAATGAATGATTAAATACATACATGCATATACACGTACCTATATATACATATATATATATATATATATATATATATATATACGTTACATACGACTTGTCTTAAAATGTAATGTCCAAAATACAAGGCTATTTTTTTGGACCGGCCCCAAACTCCAGGGGGCCCTACAATTACTGCGCGGCCCTCCTTGACGAAATCCTGGATCCGCCCCTGCACTTGACGAGGTAGGGCTGTAGGGAACATCCAGATTTTGGAAGAAAGCCATTCGTTTCCTCAGGTCGCCAAGACTGGCCGGCCGGATGGTCGCGCCTCTCTTTGCGGGATTATCGGCTGACGCTGATCCATCAGATCCACAGGACCACACGACTGCTGTTGCCTACTATTGACCGAAGCGAAGGACACTGCTGGACCCGCCGGCGGAAACTCAGTGTCCAGCGACACTACGGCACCGGATGGAACAGAACCGTCCCGTTAGCGGGACAAACGGAGGCAGTCGCCAGCGTGCAGCGCCAGTTGCGTGCCTTCACCCGGCACCATCCGGTTTGATGCCTCCTCCTGGTGTTTCACGCTTCCCTAGTATTTAGTATGCAACTGATTTGATGAAACAGTGTATTGCAAAGATGACAGATTAGAAGCGTTAGAAGAAGCAGTGCAAATGAAAAGACTTGCGTTCATAGTGGTGACCATGCAGTTTATTAAGATTTCTCCCACCAAAGCAGCTGCTTCTGGTCAAAATTATGACCTATTAAGGATTTTAAAGAGGCTAAAAGTTACACCAACTGAAAAGGTATTGCACCCTGGCTGGAACGGAATGAGTCCTACATTCTAAATACTAAATATTCATCTCATTTACTACGCAATGAGCGATCACAAACCCTGAAGCAGGAGTGTAGTTCCCTATTCAGCTGGAGGCTTCGGTCCCCCCCCCCTCCCCAACTTCGGGAAGAAAATTGACGAGATCTGAGGAGATAGCCGTTTCGGGCATATTTTGAAGGTAGGTTGGATCATCTCTACTACTCTTCCCCCACTCATTTTGTGAAACTACACCCCTGCCCTGAAGATCGTGCTCACTTTCACTTGTTCAACAATCATGCTTTGTCTTTTGATAGTCATTTATCTTCGTCATGTATCGTAAGCCACATTCATCGGGACGCAAAGGCAAATCGTGAATGTAAGCTGCGTGGTACATCCGGCCGGGCAGGAGAGACAGACCGGCCGGCGTTCCAGTGTCAAACTTCACTTAAAACCCAGACAGGAAATTGGAACTTTTCCTCATCTACCCCACTGACCTGTACAGCAAGAACCTACTCCAGTGACATGGAATGTTCGTACAACATTCCAACATGTTCGGGGTCGAGCGTACCTGTTGCAGCGCGCAGGCGCGGGCGACCCTGCTCGGACGGCAGCACCTCCAAGTCTGCGGGCCGGCCTCTGAGGAGCTCGGAGCCGAAGCCCCACCGACGATATTTTGTGTGTGGTGTGTGTGTGGGGGTGTGGGTGTGTGTGTGGGTGTGTGTGTGTGTGTGGTTTTGTGTGTGTGTGTGTGTGTGTGTGTGTTGTGATGTGTGTGTGTGTGTGTATGTGTGTGTGTGTGTGTGTGTGTGCGTGTGCGTGCGTGTGCGCAGTGCGCCGAGCGAGAGAGAGCGAGAGAGAGAGAGAGAGAGGGGGGAATAGAGAGACAGAGAGAGACTAGGAGACGTTTAGATTGAGATGAGAGAGGAGAGAGAGAGAGAGTAGAGAGAGACTGGAGGAGAGACGAGAGAGAGAGACGATGAGAGAGAGAGAGATGATGAGCGTGAGTGTGAGAGAGAGAGAGGAGAAGAGGAGAGATGAGAGAGAGGAGGAGGAGATGTAGAGAGAGACGAGAGGAGAGAGAGAGAGAGATAGAGAGAGAGAGAGAGAGAGAGAGAGGAGAGAGAGAGAGAGAGCACGTGCTGAGCCAGCTTGCCTTGATACTGCGTCGCCCAGGCCAACCCCCAGGCCACTTCATCTCGGGGACTATCGTTATTAGATTATCGATTCCGTCGATCCCTTCTCAGACGTCACCCAACAGTGTATCGGGGCGAAAGCCCGACCACTCCTCAGAAGCGCTGCCAAACATCGATTTGTGCCCGGCACGAAACAGCTTTCAAAACCGGCGCGAGTTTTACAGCATCCGCGTGTTGGACAGAAGTCAGAGGAAAAGCTTGTCAGTATTCTTTACCCACAGTCAGCTGCAAGACATCGCGACAATGCCAAGATTAATCGCACGTGCGTTTGCGAGGCCTAAGTCCCCTGTACCTTCGTTTTCAGCGTCCGTAGCTGACTGGATAGGGGTAACAAACAGGTTTTCTGCAATAAAATAGCTACTGGTCCAACCAGAAGGCCTATGGTAAGTGACACTGGGTTGGATTACAAACGCTGAACTGTGTTCGTGTTCACAAGCGACAGTGAAGACAGCTTGAAATTGAAAAGTGGAGTTTTGCAATATGACCACTGTTTACCAAATCAGGTCGTTCTACCAGTGACTCACGGTAAACTGATGCGCACTATTGTCCGCAAAGTACTCAGAATACACAGTGTCAAAAAATCAGGACCTCAAAAGATTCTTGTTCACATTTACAGGAATTCACTCGACTGAGGCTTGTATGGGACCATGTACCATGGATTGATGTTGTTGATTGGTTGCATGATGACATATTACTTTCGTATTGCTCTATTCTATGATGGTGCATTGCTATTGTACTGCGTCGATGCCTGCAATCAACGCATCTCTAATTGGAATCAATCCACGGCATCGCATCAAATAGCACCAGGCAACGCCACGAGTGCAGCAGTGGTGTATTGCAATGCAAATTACGTGAACATAACGCAACAGATAACACGGGCAGCAATGGCGTGACTCGGCGGTAGACGGGCGCGGCCTCGTGCGGTGACCGCTGCCGCACCACTGCCGTTTCGGCGGCGGCCACGGCCCGACCAGGCGCCTGGGTGCTGGCCGGCGGCTCACTCCTCGCCCATCAGCGGCAGGAACACGGCCGCGTCCGGGAAGATGCGCAGCTCGCCGGCGCCGATCGGACCCTTGTTGCACATCGGGCACGGGTCGTCCGACTCGACGAACCTGCCACAGAGCGGCTCCCGTCAGCTCAGTCGGGCCGACCGGGACAGGGACGGTGCTGGGTGGTGACACGGCCAGGGTAGGGCCGTCAGCGGCCCGGAGGACCCAAGTCAGTCGGGCGGACCGGGACAGGGACGGTGCTGGGTGGTGACACGGCCAGGGTAGGACCCTCAGCAGCCCGGGGGACCCAAGTCAACCTAGAGGACCGGGACAGGACAGTGGTGGGTGGTGACACGGCCAGGGTAGGACCCTCAGCAGCCCGGGGGACCCAAGTCAACCTAGAGGACCGGGACAGGACAGTGGTGGGTGGTGACACGGCCAGGGTAGGACCCTCAGCAGCCCGGGGGACCCAAGTCAGTCGGGCGGACCGGGACAGGACAGTGGTGGGTGATGACACGGCCAGGGTAGGACCCTCAGCAACCCGGAGGACCCAAGTCAGTCGGGCGGACCGGGACAGGACAGTGGTGGGTGGTGACACGGCCAGGGTAGGGCCGTCAGCGGCCCGGAGGACCCCCGTCAACCTAGAGGACCGGGACAGGACAGTGGTGGGTGATGACACGGTCAGGGTAGGACCGTCAGCAGCCCGGAGGACCCCCGTCAACCTAGAGGACCGGGACAGGACAGTGGTGGGTGATGACACGGCCAGGGTAGGACCCTCAGCAGCCCGGGGGACCCAAGTCAGTCGGGCGGACCGGGACAGGACAGTGGTGGGTGATGACACGGTCAGGGTAGGACCGTCAGCAGCCCGGAGGACCCCCGTCAACCTAGAGGACCGGGACAGGACAGTGGTGGGTGATGACACGGTCAGGGTAGGGCCGTCAGCGGCCCGGAGGACCCCCGTCAACCTAGAGGACCGGGACAGGACAGTGGTGGGTGATGACACGGTCAGGGTAGGGCCGTCAGCGGCCCGGAGGACCCCCGTCAACCTAGAGGACCGGGACAGGACAGTGGTGGGTGGTGACACGGTCAGAGTAGGACACTCAGCAGCCGGGAGGACCCCCGTCAGCAGGGCGGACCGGGACAGGAGAGTGGTGGGTGGTGGCACGGTCAGGGCGCCCCCCCCCCCCTCCCATCAGCCGGGCGGGCCGGGACAGGGACAGGGCAGTCATGAGCGCGGATGGCGTCATACTCGCGCCAAATCCGCGGACATAGCGCCCGGGTCGGTGACGGGACAGGATTGAAGCCGATGACGAGCGGCTGCGCCGGCCACACCGAAGCATGGAGAAGGCACACGGAAGAGGGGAACAGACATTGTTCAATCAAAACAGGAATACATCATGCAGGCACTCATCACGCGTCACACACCAGGCTTATCGTGACCAGCGTGGTCACGGACAGCCTCGAGAATTCCATGGGTCAACAAGCAAGACGTGTCTGTGAAGGTACCTCCGTCCAATGCGTCCAATGATGTTTGCGCGGCCGAGGACACTGGCCGTATCTGTCCAAGCACCCTCCCCCCCCCCCCCCCTCCTCCTCTCCCCGCCAGTTCGCGGTACTCACTTGGCCAGCTCCGAGCGGATGGCCGGGGAAGTTGCAGAACGGACACTCTGTGAGGTCGTCTTTGACTACGTGACGGCCGGAGGGCGATGCGTAGGGCAGCGTGTGCTTTGCACTTGTCGCAGTTGAGCTCGGTCTCCGCGATCATGTTATCGCAGAACGGACAGGCGGCCGGGAACTCCTCCTCCTCCGTTTTGGCCGGCTTGCGCACCACCGCCTCGATCTTCTTGCGGTATTTGGCATCCACCTGGTCCCGGTACTCGGGCTTCATTAGAGTGGCGGCGAACTGGAACGACGATTTCTTGAGACCGGAGCGCTGGCACTCGATCACCGTCGAAGTCAGGATGGGCACGGTGTCTGCCGGCCAACGCAAGGACATCGGTCAGCGGGTCGCCGCGCCGCCGCCGCCCGCGCGCAGTACACACTCGACAGCGGCTCGCGGCCAGCGACGCACCAAATCGAGGAGAATGGTGGCCAGCAGAAATCACGCTCCGTCGCCCACGCCCACGGCAAATGAAATGTCAGCTTAAGCGAATCTTAGGCCCCTGGACTCTGTGAGCCATACCGCACGCCGGCTGCCAATACACGGCACATGCAGTATCCCCCTCGGAAGCCTGCGGTGGCGACACCGGCCGACGATTCGGTCCACACAGGGTCCACCCCCCCCCCCCCCCCTCCCTCCCTGCGGTGGCGATACCGGCCCGAAGATTCGGTCTACACCGGGTCCACCCCACCCCACCCCACCCCACCCACCCCACCCCACTCCACCCCACCCCACCCCACCCCACCCCACCACCCCACCCCACCCCACCCCACCCCACCCCACCCCACCCCACCCCACCCCCCTCCCCGCTGCAAACGTCGGGCGATGCCCTCCCAGGAGGCCAGCGGTGTGCCGCCGTCAAGAAGACGCACGGGCTGGGAACTTGGAGATGTTGTTGGCGACCCTGATAAGCAGGCGCGCCGCCATCAGGTGCTCGTTCCGCTTGACGTGGATCCGCGCCAGGATGTACGAGTGCAGCATCATCATGTTGGACGCCAGCTCGTTCGGCACGCGTATCTTGTGCTTCCGAAGCTCCTGGTACATGCCTAGCAGCATGTCGTGGGCGTTTCTGCAAGAACATATCGTATAGCAAGAAACACATGGCACTCAATACAAATGGCACATCCACAGGTCGCGTGGAAAGGAAGCGAAATAATGATTCACAGAAGCTACAGCCACAAAACAAATTAGCATACATTAGTCAAACATCGAAAAAGAGCGCACTTGAAAAGCACTTACAGTCCAGCACCAGCTGCATTCCATCAACGGTCTGGCAGAATCCCCGGAAGCAGGACTCTTCCTCTGGGCGTGCATCAGACTCCACTGCAGTGTTCGGGCAGAGAGTTCCTCGACATCCTCACCGTTCCGTCCAGATACATACCCCGCTCTACCTCACCAGTGCGGGTCGACCCTCTGGAGACATACCCCACTCCACCTCACCAGTGCGGGTCGACCCTCTGGAAACATGCCCCGCCCCAACTCACCGGTGCGAGTCGACCCTCTGGAAACAGACCCCGCCACACCTCACCGGTACGAGCCGACCCTCTGGAGACATACCCCACTCCATCTCACCGGTACGAGCCGACCCTCTGGACACATACTCCGCCCCAATTTACCGGTACGAGCCGACCCTCTGGACGCATACCCCACTCCACCCCACCAGTGCGAGTCGACCCTCTTGAGACATACCCCACTCCACCTCGCCAGTGCAAGTCGACCCTCTTGAGACATAACCCGCCACACCTCACCGGCACGAGCCGACCCTCTGGAGACATGCCCCGTCCCACGTCACCGGTACGAGAGTCGACCCTCTGGAGACATACCCCGCCACAGCTCACCGGTACGAGCCAACCTTCTGCTCCTCCTTGGCGATGATGACGGCCGTCTTGGCCGACTCGCGGTACATCTTGCGCGCCATGTACAGCCGGAACAGGTACTTGGGGTCCTTGGGCACGCCGTCCTGCTCGCCCAGCAGGAAGTCAATCACCTGCTTGGCCAAACCCTCCGAGTTGGCCTCGCCCACCACGTCGATGGCCAACATGATGGCGTCGGCCTCCTGGGCGCCCTGGGCCGCCTTCAGCAGCAGCTTGATCGCCTGTCGAGAGAGGAGAAAGAAGAGCGGCGTTAAGGCGGTCGACAGTCGGCGTCGGCAGGAGACGGCCGCTCACGGCGAGAGATGGCGACGGGTGAGTGCCGCGGCCGCACCGGCGCACGTGGCGCACCAGCCCAGCGGCGAGGCGGCGGCGCGCTGCACCACAGCCGTGACGGACGGCTGCGGCTCCAGAGCGCACCGACGCCGTGACGGACGGCTGCGGCTCCAGAACACGCTGACGCCGTGACGGACGGCTGCGGCTTCAGAGCACGCTGACGCCGTGACGGACGGCTGCGGCTCCAGAGCACGCTGACGCCGTGACGGACGGCTGCGGCTTCAGAGCACGCTGACGCCGTGACGGACGGCTGCGGCTCCAGAGCGCACCGACGGCGCACGCCCTGCGGCGGCCGTACCTTGGTCGAGTCTCCGGACATGTGATGGAACTTGCCAGCCAGGAAGTAGTTCATGGAATTCTCGTAGTGCAGCGCCATGCTGCGGTAGTCCTCTGGACGGCCGTCTGCAGCCGAGCCATAGGCATACAGTTAGCCCAGCGGCCCGGCAGGCATCTCCGGAGGGTGCGACGGATCGTCTCATGCACCACATCACCCGGCTGAATCGCAGTCGGTACCCATCGGCGGTACCCAACATCGCTCAGGTTCTCACGACGACACAACCTTTCTGATAATTGGCATTCGCTTGCGGAACTTCGCTTTTGTAAGATATAACACCGATAACACCATAACACCGTAGCACCGATATGAACCCGAAAAATTTTAGGTAAACGCGACTGTGCCGTGCTAACAAACATCTGTTGAGGTAAGCACGTAATAAGAGAAACCGGGCCCAAATACTGGGAATAAAAAGGCTGCCGTATAGCTGGCGTGTTACAAGTACTATCCCGCTGTCGATCGCATGGACGGAGCTAAGAAATATTATGAACAATACAGAAGCCCTGAGGGAGGTACACTGCTGACCATTTCCGATGATGTCGGCGAAGGTGTCCATTTTGCCGTGCTTCTGAGCCAGGTTAAACGCCTCCTCGATGCACTTGGACATAACCAAAAACTGAATGGCCGAAGCAAAGTCGCCCATCTTCATGAAGAATCTGATTACCGCGAGCAAAAACACGAGTTAAGTGAAAACGACAAGAACTATTAGAATCGACCACACAACGAATGAGGATCTTCAAGAAAAGCATCGGCCCAAAAACGTTTGGGTAAAAATAAAACATGGAGACCTTAGCGTACAAAGACTGCACGGAGCGCATTAAGTATGAGCGTGTGCAGCGTGGTAGTCATCAACGGTCTGAGAGATTACACTCAGCGCCCGGCAGGCTACATGCGGATACAAATGATTCTCTCACGACCACATAGTCCGCTCAGAAGCGGCAGAGCACACTGTGTGTGTGTGGGGGGGGGGGGGGGGCGACGCCGGCGGCGGGCGCGGCCACCACACTCACTTGGCCACCAGACGGGCGCCCTCCACGCTCTTGGACTCCTGCACGACGGCGACGGCCTGCTGCGGGTTGTTGAGGTGGTCCAGCAGGATGCGCACCATGCTGTCGTATTCGCGCGCCGTCTCGTAGGCGGCCAGCGCCTCCTTGTACTTGCCCTCGGCCTCGCGCGCCTGCCGGCCGGCCGACCGCCGTCACGTCACGTCACGTCACGTCACGTCACGCCACGTCACGTCACGTCATGTCACGTCATGTCACGTCCTCTCAGGGGTGGATGCCATGTCCGCACAGGACTGGCGAAAGGTGCAATCGGTAGTCGCTGGCCTCGGCCGTTCGTCCTGCTGGGCTCTGATGTGGTGTTTTGTAAATATCGTGGAAGTTAGTTTGGCATGGCTTTGGCTCCGCCATAGTTCTTTCGGTCTTGGAGACCATTGCAGAGCTATGGGACTAGGTAGAAAAACAGCAAGTGGTAAGATACCGTAGACCCCCTCGCCCTCAAACACACGCTCCCAGACGAATGCACGGAGCTCGCGCAGTGAACCGCTGCCAGGTCACCGCAGTGGACCATACATACCTGCTGCATGGTCCAATGTGGCGAAACTGGACAGTCATGTGTCTACATGCCCGGGTGACACTGGGAGCACCAGCAGCCTTACGTTAGGCCAGAGGGATGCAGAGCACGTTAGTCAGATGTAGCGTAATGTTCAGGCTCAGTCGCACAGGCTGAGGTGTCGCAACGGGGGCAGCCGGACAGCCCCCCCCCCCCCCCCCCCACCCTCCCCTCCACTCTTCATCCTAAAAATAAGACCCGCAAAACTCAAGCATTTACGCAATACCCAAGACAATGGGGATATGTTGGTGAAACCGTTCCGGCTTGCTCCTCTGCCCGGAAATCCCGGCGACGCCGCAGCGTGCTGCCGTCTCACGTGACGAGGGACGCGCGTGCGCCGAGCCGCACGACGCTGCGGACGCACGGTCAGCGCGACGCACGGTCAGCGCCGATTCCCACGCACCGGCGTGTTAATGCCCCCTGGCTCCCTCGCCACCCAACCTAAGGAGACTGAAACCAGTATGTGGTACACGGCACGGCAACTCGCATTATAGCAAAATAGAAACGTTGGACTTCTCAGTTAAAACAAAACTGGACAGTCATACCAACTCGCTTCTCGCGCAGGGCCTAGTAGCCCGGTGGTAGAAAATTTGAATTATGGATGCGCGGCTGGCGGTTCGAGTGTGACAGTATTCCGATGTCCCTTCCCAGCAAAAGACGTTGCAAAACTGTCTAAGCATTGCCTTTGTCAGTCTCGAATCAATTTACCTTCCCACAATAGATCCTGCTTGACTTATACCGCAAGGGTGTGGGTTGTTAACTTAGTGCCAAGAGCTGTGTGTCAGCGTCGCGACACGTTATCATTCTCTGGCCATTTTATTAGGTCGCTTTGCACGCTAGTGCACACCTCGGCGAACTGAAAGCATATATTGCTCGTACGAAGCCGAGCCGTTGGACCCTACCTTGGCATACTGTGAGTGTATCTTGAGACTCTGAACTTGTGGCAGCAGCTCGGCCACCTTGTTCCAGTTCTTTAGCTTGATGTACATCTGCGCCGCCCGGTCGTACAGCGCGCCCTTCTCGAACAGCACGGCCGCCTCGTTGTATTGCTGCGGGTCAGAGCCGGGCGGGCCGTTTTCGAAAGACCAGCGCTCACGCACCACATAGTGACTTAGACAGGAAGTCATTGGGTTGGCTGTTGGGAGTCCGCCGCCTTGTTGGTGAGCATCACAACACCGGAAACGTAGTCCAGCATCAACCGAGCAGCCAAATATTATGAATATTATATTCAGATTGTTATCGATGCCAAGCAGCCAGTACGAACACAATGTTTTGGAATGATCACAGGATGGTGCATTTACCTTAAGTTAAATGTCATTATTAATATCTACGTCCAAGGGCGCCTCCTCGCCATTTCTTCCTAGCCTTTAACCAGATGAGGATCCTCTCACGATGGGTGAGTTGGGCATACTGGCGGGGAAGGGAGTTGTTAACACCAACCTTCATGCCTTCCAGTATTTCGGCACATTCTTTCTTCAGGAGTTTGCTGGGCGAATTAGTAGCCAGTTGCACGCCTTTCCGAATGTCTCCGCAGCGGATAGAACATCTGGGGAACAGGCCCAAATCAAAGAGCCGAACATCAGTGGAGCAGCTGCACGGTACCGCCCCAACTGAGCGCGTGTTAAACCCGAGCCAAGTCCCCGGGGGGAGCAGACGTGTGTGGCCGCACCGTGCGACTGGAGAACAGCACGGCACCGCGCCGGCGTGGGTGACGAAGTCACTGCACTCCCAGGCATGCAGCCCAGCAACGTACGCTTAGCTCAGAACATGCCCAAATGTCCACGCCAAGCCGCCCGGTCAGATCACATAAGGTAAAAATAGATGTCTGTGCACAAGCGGGTGCTCCTGTATTCTTGACTGCAGGAGCTGCTAGTGATTATCATTTCATTTCAAGACAAATTGGCGGAACTGTCCCCTAAAAAACTAGCAAGGAAAACTTACGGAAAAGATTCAACGGCAAGCGTCTCACCGCACGTGACTTGTCTCACTGAATAAGGTGCAGCCGCACCAGACTTAGTTTGAAAGATACACATCCTAGATTCCACTATGGCATGAATGGCGGAAACCCAACCATCCGCCTGTACGAAAATAGGGCAAGATTGTTGCATTACTGGTTGATTCATTAAACTGATTACGGAATGCTTCTTTCAAAGGCGTCTTGTCGCCTTGTGTCGACGTCGTTGAAGAGATTTCGCAGTTTTCTGAAGTATGGCTATGTCGGTTGTAATCTCCACATTGGTGAAACACTCCAGTGGATACAGGTTTCCCCAGGCAGAAAGCCTTCCCCACGACTTAGATAAATGTTTGGCGCTATTGTTCATTGCAGCAATGAGTAACAACAGTAAGCATTTATTCGTCGACAGCAGCTGTCGACAAATTTGTTCACGCTTCTTCCTGACAGTCTTCCGTGTCGTACCCAGGCAAAATGTGAATTCGCCTGTCCATATCCGTCTCATCATTTCACTTAATCACGAGCTCCACAACGCAAGCAGCAGGTATTAGGTGGCATTTGTGTGGTGGCTCACTACGTTGGTATACCATTGGGTGCTGTCAATAGGAAGGTTTTGTCCCGCAAGTGAGCGTAAGCTAGTGACTGATGCTCGACTGTTTGTTTGCAGTACGTTCGCGGCCATCGGTAAGAACAAGAAATGCCCCGAGTTCGTCCGGGCACGTCTGTTCGTTGAGCAATATGTGGACGAGCGAGCGGATAAAGTTAGCTTCGTGAGTGGCAGGTAAGCGACACCGACAGCAAATAATTTCAAGTGGAGCAAGTTGAGGATAACTACACACTTTCAAGGCTGCTGAGGACGCTAAAAAGGCCCCTTGTGTTCTTCTGCTTCTAACCACACGCCGCGTTCCGGTGGCTGAGTGTTTGTACAGCTGCGGGGGACTCAGGACTGGAGTTCCTTGCTGCCTGTGTTTTGATGTCCTCCGCGGCGACCGGTGTGGGAGGCTGTGGCGCCGATCACCTCCAATGTTACGGGTACCACTCACGTTCCGGGCGATACTAGCATTTTAGCGATGTGAAACGAGATATTTAAAATATATATATATATTTTAGCACATGTAATGCATGTACTGTAAATGTAATAATGCATGTCTTAACGTGAAAATCTAAGTGTTGTTCCTCGTCTCTTTGGTATAGACAATACCTGGTTAATAAGTATCAGCAGGAGCAGCTACTTGCAAAACCAAGTCGCTTTCGTCAAAAGCATGTGTGGGCGATATTCGATTTCTTGGAGCGGATCTGGTCAGAACGTGCTGCCTTGTTGAATGTGTCGCAAGACATGTTCCAGACAGCTAAAACCGGTGCAAAAAGAGCGGTCCTGCCCCCGCTTTGAACGTGCAAAGGGCTCAGAAGCATAGCTGCTCAAAGGCGACAGAGCCGTCCAACACCTCCGTAGTGACGTCACCACCGCGACCGGCCGGCGTGGGCGGCAGGCGCCGGAGACGCACAGTGAGGCTCACTTTCACCGCCGACCAGCCTGGACGGGTCGGCCGGTCGGGCGCCGGCGGTCCCCCACGTGCTCAGCGCACCCCAAACTCGCGTTTCCGCACCATGTCAGCGAGAGATGGCCTGCTGGGCGGCGGCCGAGAAGGGAGCCAGATGGCGGCCGAGACGGAAGCCAGGTAGGAGCCGCAGCGAGGCAGGGGTCGCGGACGGACTGGGAGTCAGGCGGGAGCGGGGACGGGGGCGGAGACGACGCCCGTTCGTGGGCAGCTCGGGAGAAAGCGGTGACGAAGCCGGATGCGGCAGCGGGCGACCCGGTCAGCGGGTCGGCTCTGCAGTCGGTAGAGACACGGCGAAGCGACGCACCCCTGCATCGGCGGCGGCCGGAGCCAGCAGAGCGGCAGCCGGCAGCCGAGCGCCCAACGTCACACCAGCCGGATACACAACAGGCCGAGACGGGACATGCGTGGGCAGGTAGGTCAAGTGCCAATGCATTATAAACTGATAGCTGACAGGAACCGTACCATACCTGTCCCCACTGATCGACATTTGCCTATGTCAATAATTTGCATATCAAAACAAAATATTTCAACCAAACGACTGAGGACTCCAGGCACGAGAGATGGGATACCAATTGCTCAAACCTGGGAGACATCCTTTGCTGAGGACTTCGGCTACGCAAGCCTCCAATCATAGATATTGACGAAATGTATGATATGCGAAGGATCACATGTTGATAGGCATCAAATATAAAAAGGCGTGCCATGGGAAATTTCATGAAGCCATGCTATCCACCCTTCATTTGCGCTCACGACGTTGCGCGCGATGTGATGCTGTTCATTACGCACGGCTGTGACTGCCATGGGTGTCTGTTGGTGCCGCCGGCGCCGCTGACCAGCCGCGTGATGTGATGCTGTTCGTCACGCACGGCTGTGACTGTCATGGGTGTCTGCGCCGCCGTCGCCACTGACCAGCCGCGTGATGTGATGCTGTTCGTCACGCACGGCTGTGACTGTCATGGGTGTCTGTGCCGCCGTCGCCGCTGACCAGCCGCGTGATGTGATGCTGTTCGTCACGCACGGCTGTGACTGTCATGGGTGTCTGTGCCGCCGTCGCCGCTGACCAGCCGCGCCTTGTGAGCAGTTTGGCACAACGGTCGCCCTCCTGGCCATGCTCTCTGTGGCCGCCGCCTACGACAGTGTCGACCGACTGGTGGACGTATTTCTCGCCCAGAATACAGGTGAGGCTGGCTGTGCGCCGCGGCCAGCTCCAGGCATGGCATGGCAGAATACAGGTGAGGTTGGCTGTGCACCGCGGCCGGATCCAGCCATGGCATGCACCAATTGCACACCCGATAGGCTTGCTTTAAAAAAGTGTGACACTTTGACAACTGTCTTTAACTTTTACTGAACTCATTGAGTCATCCCCTGTGGATGGTCTGGCAGGTCTGCGTCGACCATGTAAATTTTCCAGAGCTATTGATATCCTCGCAGTGCAGAGCTGGCTCAAATATATATGATGTATTATTCAGGGCTAAGGGGTAGAGTTAAGCCCTCCCAAAAAATGCACTCGTATAGATAAGACCCCCACACCGCACCGGTAAGTGTGAAACCTAGCAGCACACAAGACGCCTCAGGTGTCTGATAACTAACGCGTTTCCAAGATATATAAAATGACGGCATTTTGAAAATTAAGCACCCAATCTTGTTTACTTTACATTCATATGCAGGTATGATATTTTTATTTTCACTCATTGTTAGAGCAGACTCGTCCGATTTGATCCATAATGCCACCCATTTTTCTCAAAATCCTTCCGAGTAGCCCAGAATTTCTTTTTGAAATAGCCGCTCCGGCGGTTCTACCAGTTTAGTAGCCGTCGGAGCGGCCACTTCAAATCAAAATTCTGTGAGTTTTGTAATACAGAACACACATACATTAACACAATACAGAATGATATATTTTAAACACATCTTTGCGGTACATCATTCGTCAAAAGGTTTGTGTAATAAACGTTACAAAAGCTGTATATATATATATATATATATATATATATATATATATATATATATATATGTATCGTAACGTCATGTCTTCAAGAAAGATGCCAAAGTGGCTGAAACAGTTCATCGAATGAAATGTGCTGTTCCTGTGGTTATGTTTCTGTGCGCGAAGTGAACAACCTATGCTTTACGACCATCTAGCACCTAACCAATGGATCATTCACAAGCGGAGATGAGATTTCTTAAGGGTAATCGATTCCCATCCAGAACCAAAGTGAATGGGGCCGAATCCAAGACTGATTCGCAGTGACGATTAGCAGATCACTGGCGCAGCTTCTAACGGTGCTCCGTGGACGCACCATCTCCCAGCACGCCGTGAGCTGTAGCGTCACCCGGCTGGCTCGCTGCGGCAAACATACAAGGGGCAGAAACTATGGACCGCTGCCGACAGGCCAGCGAGAGCTGCTGCAGGCCAGGCTGGGCGGCCGACGGTTCGCCAGGTCAGACCGGCGCATCCACGCCCGCACCATGGACGTCTCCTCGCTGGGGTCTCTCTTGCTGGGGCCCAATGCCAAGTGAGCATATACATACTCTGCAGCTCTTCGCGCGAATCGTTTCATGATTTGCCTTACCATACGCATTCAGCTATTTTGTTGGCGATGTTATTTCTCTGTAATGCGTCCTGAATGTCAGAAATGGAAAGCCATGTGCAGAAATGATGATGTTGCGAGAATAATTGGATTTGAGTAGATTTGGAGCACGATTAGATGCAAACAATGATTACAACGGGCGGATAAAGAAAGCATGATATGCGTAGCCCGGCAGAAGGCTTGAACAGAGACAGACGGCCTGTGCTCACGCTTGCCAAACGAACGAGCCCAGCTGGCCCGACACCTCTGACTTTCCCGTCCCGGCCACGTCCGTCGCAGCGACGAGTCGGTGGTGCAGACGGCCGCAATGGTGCAGCGGCTCAGCCAGATGGATCGGCTCGAGTGCGTGCCGCGCATGCTGTGCACGGCCGTCGCCAGCGCGCTGGAGCCAGACCCGCCCAGCCCAGCGGCGGCCGGCGTGGCTGCTCCGGCGGCGTCGGCGCTG